ATACATACTGACTGACATAACTTCGTTTTTATTAACAATGTTGTGCATTTTTGTAGTGTGCATTCTTTGTTACATTAAAAATAATTGATGCTAATAAATGTTGTTTTATAGTTGTAAAGAGTTTGCATATAAATTTATATTATGCTCAAAGTTAAATTTTTTTTGATAAATACGTGTATGTGGTGATATATGTTATATAGTTGTTTTATAGATGTGTTTATACAAATGTGTTTTAAAAATAGAATGAAATGTATTTTACCTAATGTGTATATGCTTGTTAATTAAGGTGTTTTTATGTTGTGTAACATTAAAAAATATATTGAATTTTATAGTTATTATATAATATTGTTTAATGTTGTTTTTATAATTTCAAAATGGTGTGACTTGGCAAACGTGTAGTGCATGATTTGTTTTACTCTACAAGTTTACCAGTCAAGTGGTGTTACTACTTTAGGTCTAAGTGTTGCCTATCCTTCAATATAACTATTCTGAAAATACATAACATTATCTTTGATAATTTTTTTCCATAATGTTGTTACCTTTGGCTTATCTTTATGTTTGTGTCGTTTATTAAAAATGAATAATAGGTAGTGTCATTACTAAACTCGCTTCATTTATTTATTTACTAAAAGTCATTTAAGACATCGTTTCCCTATAAACACATTTTGTTTATCATGAAATAACAATATTTAACAACTACTACTCAGGTAGAACAACAGCTTATTTGTATCAGGTACATTCAGTTTCAATTCACATATGATGATTTTCAATGTATTTACTTATTCGTTACATTTTTTAACTTCAGATTTATCATATTATGTATTTATAAAGTATAGAAGAACAAATCATTGTAAATTTTTATGAATTTTTTGAAAATATTTACTAATAAATAGTCCAGTCAACATTTAAAGTTCAACGTTGCATATACCATTTTTAAGTAGTTTCTAGGCTTTTCTTAATGCTTTTCTTATTCAAGTGGTTTTACAAGCAAGATCTGCAAGCAAATTTGAGCTGTAAAGTTTTTTAGCTTTTAAGGAGAATTCTTGTTGTTCTCTGTTTAATTTAGTTTGTTCAATTAGAGTAGTTTTAATAAATAAATGTTTGTTTGTTCTAGGTTTTTTTACTTATTTGTTTTCGGATTCTTAAGAACTAGGCAACTTAGCGAAGCAAGATTTGTTTTTTTAGTGCAACTAGAAAGAGCTGAAGTGCTTTTCAGTGACATCAAATCAATTGTTTGATTGGTTTTTTAAATATAGGATTAGTAAAAATAAATTTTTTTAGATTATCGAACTGTTACTGATTTGAGTTAGTTTAATATTTTGTTTTATTTTTATTGGATTTATTTTGTATATCTTTTATGTATTTAACATGGAAAACTGACTGTAACTTGTTGACAGGTAAGTTTATATACATAAATGTACCTATATTTTAGTAAATTTTATATATCTCTGTATCTATATAAATATAATCTCAAAGGAAAATAAAATGAATAGAAAAATTTGAGTATATATACATACATACATACATACATATATATATATATATATATATATATATATATATAGAAATGTTGCGGAAAATGGTTTTGCGTTACACTCTTATGACCTATTTCAGTTGTAAATTACTCAAATATTTTTTATTTTTTTTGTATGTATTTAGGTACTCCCAAAAGTCCTTACGGTCTTATCATAGCGGGAGAGCATTTAACAGGAAGTTCACGCCTCCTTTCGTACCAATGTCGCTTGTTGGGCTAGAGCTGGCGTCAAACCTCGGACCTCTGGGTTCTGAGCCAGAACTCTAACCACTGCGCCACGGCTGCTCTATAAAGTTACGTAAAAATTGTAAATGTTAAGTAATAAAAAATAATGTTACGTAAAAATTGTAAATGTTAAGTAGCAGTTGGTAAATTATTTTACCTATTGGTAAATTATTTTACCTATTGGTAAATTATTTTACCTATTGGTAAATTATTTTACCTATTGGTAAATTATTTTACCTATTGGTAAATTATTTTACCTCCTCATACTATTTACGTTAATTTTACAGATATTATTTTCTTCAAGTTGAAGGCGTTTTTCTAAAATGGTATTAGTTAAGGTTCTGCAAAGTTAAATTGTAGAAAACAGCTACTATAAATTAGTTATGTAACAGAGCGACCATAACCCGTATTACCGGTTGCTTTTTGCATGTTTTATTATAAATAGACAACTTTAAAATGTTGGCACAGTATAGTTAAAATTTAAAGCATCTAAAACATTTTTAAAAAGTTGCACGTTAGCATCATACTATTAAATATTTAAGATTCAAAATAAAAAATTAAACATAAATCTTATATAATTTAAATAACTAAATTAAAAGCTGAATATAACGTTCTCCTTTTTTGGTAATATCTAGATAAAATCTGTTTATCTAACTGCAACACACACTTGTCCGCAAAAAACAGAAATAGATTTATTTACTAACTGTGTTTGATAAGTATAAAGTGTTGGGAAGCACTAAAAATGTTAAGAGACTTAAAAACTACATTAAAAAAACTCGTCAAATTTGAATAAGACAATAATGCAATTTTATGCAAATATATGTACACGTGTTTATAAGTAAGTATGTTTATACGTTTGTATGTTTATATGTGAGTAAGTAATTATATATGTATTTCTAGGTGAATACTTATATACGTATTGTTAAACAAATAACATTTTTTTAAAATCTGTTTAGGCGGTTCTTGATGACAATATCTTCTAAACTTTATGCAAGTATCCGCATTCTTATTGTAAGTGTAACAAAATTTGTAATTCTTGTTGTATTTATTTTATTCATTTTCTTATTGTAAAACTTGTTTTGAATAAATAAAAAGAGCAACAACAAAAAAATTCAATAATTCAAATGCTTTTTAATCTTCCATAATTTTTTTTTATACACAGAAACTCGTTTATAAATCATAGTAAATCTAGTCAGAAGTAATTAGTAAATCTAATCTGTCCCTTCACTATTATTATTATTATTATTATTATTATTATTATTGCTATTATTATTATTATTATTATTATTATTATTATTAAATTGAAAACCGTAGTGTTTCAATAGTTAAAAAATTGATTTAAGAAAAAGTTATATCTTGCGTTACATTTTGGAGTGTATTCTTTTGAGAATCGGTAGTTGTGATTTCTCCTTTTTTTTTCCGTCTAATACTCTGTTGGTTATAAAAGTTATTGGTTTTTGTAATGAGATTTGATCGTAACCATATACTATTTTATACATTTGTATAAGGTCTCCACTAATTCTCCTTTTCTTTAATAATTCCAGGTTAAAAATTTCAAGTCTGGTTTTATATATATATATTTTTAAAGAAGACCATTTTTGTCGCTTTTTTAAAATTTTTCCAAATGATCTATATCTTTTTGTTAGTTAGGATTACAAACTGAAACAGCATAGTTTAAATGTGGTCTTACAAGTGATGTATATAATACTTTCATAGTGCAGGCATACAAATTTCTAAAAGCTTTATTAACCATTCCCAAAATCTGGTTTGCATTATTTGCTGCTTTTTATGACTTGATTCTGCCGTTTTAGTTTCTTTGTAATAATAATAATAACTAGCTGGGGAGACCCGTAAAATACGGGTCTTTACCGAACCGATCGTCTTTATACTTATCTATAGCTATCCGGACGTAAACTAAGGGTCTTAGTAAATCTATTCCACACCGACCTTTTCTATACTTATTCCTTACCTCAATACTTTTTTAAAACCGTTTAAAAATGTACATATAAAAAACTACTTACTTTTTGATATGACAAAAACATTTCTGTTAAAATGTTCTTTTAAAAACTTCAAACGATTTTAATATTATGCCGATTATAAAAATTTTAATAAGAAAAAACGTAAAAAAGACTACGAACTTAGAAAAATGCTAAAACATTCAACACGTGACGCCGTTAAAGTACGCCTTAGTTAACGTTTATAACATATACACATCTAATTAGATTTTATTTAAATTCAGTTTACAACACTTAGACAGATATAGTCATCTCACCCCGGGAGTTCATACTCCAGTGACCTTTTTTTTTCATCCCAACTTACAACAAAAGTAATTAAAAATAAATGTTATTATTGAAACAGTTTTAAACATTTCTTCCTATTTATCTTTGAACTTAACTTTATTCACTGCAAACATACTTTTGGTGTTTGTAAGCGTTATTTTACGTTTAGTATTTGTAGGAATTATTTGCACGCACGTATTTTAAACAATTATTTTTACTGTTTCATCTAAAAATCTTATTTAATTTAGTTTAATAATTTCTTAAATATAATATATATAATATAATTTAAAATATTTTATTAACCCTTTTTAAATAAGTATCAAAACTCTTTCCTTTAGTTTAAAAAGAATTTAAAATTAACGTAGGCTTTAACGATATTTTACCCTTTCATCAACATTTATTTAAAAAGTAAATTTGGATATAGAAAAACGGGTTAAAGACTTATTATTTTAAATAAGTTAGCTTTATCTATTTAATGCTTTTCGTAAAAGCGTTTCTTTAAAGACTCTTAACAAATCATTCAAGCTGTTTTTACTGCCTAAGTTATTAAACCTGTTGTGTGTGCCAAAAATCGATACTTAATGCAAATGGAAACTTCGAGTGCTAATGGTGATTAAAGCATAAATGGTTCCTATTCATATATAATAAAAGGAAATATAAAAGACAAAGCAAAAATGATTTTTATATCCATTTAAAACAATAAATCCCAAAATAAAAAAATATAGATATTTACTTAAAAACATATTTTTCTTGATAAAAAAAAAAAATATAACCTTTAGTACAAATTACAAAAAAAATTTATTCAACAGAGCTACTTATAATACAATTTAAATTGAATCATTGTTTCATAAATATTAAGCTTTAGGTAAGCCATAATCAAGTCAGCTATAAGAAACGGAACTAAAAATGGAACAAAGTTATTTAAACGCATAATCATACACATTAATTACAAATTAACATGTCATGCAATCAATACTTTTGAAAACTCAAAAATGCGAATAAGAAACTTACTTTTTTATTTTTACATTATCCTGACAGACCAACATGAATGTGAGCTAAATCTATTTGCATAAAACATCACAACAATTAATTAAATAGCAGAACCACCTTCAAAGGACAAAAAAATTAGTTTTTTAAGGAAAATTAGAGTTATTGGGAGGGGAGGTATTAATAAATAAAAAAGCTCAACTTGAATTTCAAAATTAGTTCATAGTTTTGTTGAGGGTTATTGAGTTATTCTGAGTTTATTATACATATTTTAAACTACTAACACCACACACTTATATTCTTAGTTCTGGAAGGTGCTACATAGAATTTGATTGTGTGAAAACCAAATCCCTTTGAGATTAACATTAACTTTATCAAATGAATGACCGTGACTTTTATTTCTAGTTAATGAGCATTGTTGATAAAGGTGTCTTTATTTAAATGATTTACTTTGATAACATTTAACATTCATGGGAAAAATTAAAAAACAACACAAAAATAAATTTACAAAAATATATTACAAAAAAAAAATGAAGTGGCTCAAAAGTTGTCAATTTCTTTACATTTTAAAATGTAAAAAAAATTATTGACAACTTTTGAGCCACGTTGTCTTCTCCTCCCAGCATCCGCTCTATTCCCCGTGTTGTATGGATTGCCATCCCTCCATCTAAAGGAGGGATGGTCGTCCCCATACAAACACCAGCGATGGAAGGCCCTCATAGATAGAGGGCCTGGATGCTGGGAGCGATACTTTCGGAAATCTTCCCATGACTTTGAGCCTGAAAAAAAATTATATATAAATACAACTATCTACCTAGGTAATACTTACAAAAAATCTACTGTAAAAAAACAATAAAAGCAAATAATGTAATAAATTAAGTACAAGTGAGCACAATAACTTATTTATTTTACTCACTAATACTTGACTTATTACATTAACTAATTAAACTGGAAAGCACATTTGTAGATATATTAAAAAACAAAAGGTACAATAAAAGCAATCAATCAATGTAATAAGTCAAGTAAAGGTGAATATAACAACTTACTTGTAACAGAAGAAGCAGCAGCTAGAGATAAATAAAAGAAAGTTAAAAATGCAATAAAACCAATTAATCCATAAATTAAGTCAAGTATAAGTGAATATAACAACTTACTTGTAACAGAAGAAGCAGCAGCTAAAGATAAATAAATGATAGTTAAAAATGCAATAAAACCAATTAATCCATAAATTAAGTCAAGTATAAGTGAATAGAACAACTTACTTGTAACAGAAGAAGCAGCAGCTAGAGATAAATAAAAGAAAATTAAAAATGCAATAAAAACAATCAATCAATGTAATAAGTTAAGTAAAAGTGACTTACTTATAACAGAAGAAGCAGCTAGAGATAAATAAAAGAAAGTTAAAAATGCAATAAAACCAATTAATCCATAAATTAAGTCAAGTATAAGTAAATAGAACAACTTACTTGTAGCAGAAGAAGCAGCAGCTAGAGATAAATAAAAGAAAATTAAAAATGCAATAAAAACAATCAATGAGCCGGGGCTCATCTCTTTCAAGTCGACAACGATTTATCTCAGCTCGCCGGGGCTCATCTCTTTCAATTCGACGACGATTTATCTCAGCTCGCCGGGGCTCATCTCTTTCAATTCGACGACGATTTATCTCAGCTCGCCTGGGCTCATCTCTTTCAATTCGACGACGAGTTATCTCAGCTCGCCTGGGCTCATCTCTTTCATTTCGACTGCGGTTTATCTCAGCTCGCCTAGCCTGCCTTCTTTCATTTTGACGACGTCTAATAATTTCATTTCTTAAATTATTAGACATAATTAGGCATCAAAGGAGTGTGTAAAAATGATGCCTAATATAATAAAAGTTGAAGTTTCTTTTTTAAACTTATCTAAAATAAAGTGTAAGCAAATAATACAGAGCATAATACTATAATCTATTATATTCTACCATATATAGCATTGTGTTAAGATAACATAGTTTTATTAAAAACTTAAACTAAAGTTATAAATTAATATAATATTTTCAACTAAGTATTGTTTATATATTTATGGTAGTTGTTATTAATTATTGACAAAATATTATAAGTATTTAATCAAAAAAAAAAAACAAAAAAAAAATGCAATTTAAAAAACAAATTTTTTTTTATATAAGAACTCATAAATAAAACAAATTAAAAAAATTTAAGGCCTGTCAATTCAGCAAGTACTGCTAGCATGGAAGGATAAAATGTAATCATCCATCAACAAAACCCTTTCATTACTTTGAAAGGCATTTAACGCAAGATTTGCAATAAATAAATACAAAACTACTAAAGGAACCTCTATAAACAATCATATATTTGCTTCAAGTGAAGAAACTTGGAAATATTGAAACTTCTTTTACTATTTTAATTTTTTTTTTAGATATTTAATATTCTAAAGAAAAAGGGACAATAATTTAAGGCAAAAAAATTAAAATGTCTATACATATAATATATGTATAGACATTTTAATTCTATATATTTTATTGTGTGTGTGTGTGTGTGTGTGTGTCTATATATATACATACATATATATATATATATATATATATATATATATATATATATATATATATATATATATATATATATATATATATATATATATATATATATATATATATATATATATATATATATATATTGATGTACATACAAAACATTAAAATAATAATATAAAGAAAACATTCTCTATACAAAAAATCCTAAAAATTTAACAAAAGTTATTAAAACTTATGCTTCAACACGCTGTATACTTACTTTTATATATATAAAAAAAATTTGAGTTAAACATATTTAATGAAGAAAATCGAAACTCTTAAAAATTTTAATGAGGAGGAGCTGTTAGTAAAGCCTGCTTTTTAACAAAATTTATTTATTGTCAAAAGCATACATTGTTAAGAACAGAGGATAACAGCATTAAAACACATTTTTTCAACAATATTTTTTCAACACATTTTAGAAATACACTAATTACAAACAGAATTAATTTATGTGTTTTATTATGACAATACACCACTCTGCTGGCGAAGACAATATTTTTGCTCTCAACAAAGCCAGGTCACATTATAGCAAAGTACATTACTTGGCTAGCAAGGTCAACAATCTTGCTGTAAACTAAGCCCAGTCACAACAATTTGAAACCATGCAAACAATATAATTATCACTTAAAAACTATAAACATATTACATATAACACACCACAAACATTGAAACATTTTATATATTTACACACTTACAAAATATAAACCCATATAACCTTAACACATATATACACAATAAAACACAATATAAATAACACACATATATAGATAAATATATAAATTAAGAAAAATATATAAATTTGAAACTTTACAAATACAACCTTATTTTTGGTTTTTTGAAATACCTCGTAATAAATGCTTAACAACTTTCAAAAACAAACTATCAAACAACCTGGTTTTTTATACGGATTTTTATAACTTCTTTTAAATAAGGTATTAAACGATCTTGTTCTTTAACATGTAACATTGAGTTGACCGTGTGAGATGCAAGTGTTTTAAACACTAACTTTATCAAGAGTTTGACCTCTTGACCTTTGAAATGAGCAACGTCTTCTTGAGTCGTCTTTTAATTTAAAAATTACAGATTAATTTTATAAATTAATAAATTTAAATACAATTGACAAAAGACTAAAATGCATGATTTAAATAAATCACCTGACTTACTTTACTAATTCAATAATAAAGTTACTTTACTAATTCAATAATAACATAATGTTCATCCTTTACTACAGAAGTTATCAAATAAAAATTGTTGATCTTATCACTAATTAAGCTGATGAAACAAAGTTTTTGATCTCATTACTGATTAAGCAGATACTGACAGATTATTAAGATTTGAAAGAGCCTCATTACGCGAGTTCAGAAGTAAAGCAATTTATAATAAAACTCAAAGTCCAAGTATGGTAAAAAAGTCCGTGTAAAGGTGCACGAATGGTGAGCAGCAGCAGCGGCAGCGTTAAGTTAAGTATTAATTATAAGCGATACCCATATCTTTTTCTATTTCTGTTTCTTGTAGTACTATATGATTTGCTATCATCGGTATATAGTTTTAATGGAAATTTTAGTGTTTCTTGTAAGTCATTAATATATACTAGCAATAAGCAACCCGTAATACGGGTTTTGGTCGGTCTGTTACATAATTAATTTATAGTGGCTGTTTTCCACAATTTAATGTTGGAAAACCTTAACAAATACCCTTTTAGAAAATCGCCTTCAGCTTAAAAAAATTAATCCATCTGTAAAATTAGTATAAAAAGTATATGGAGGTAAAATAATTTTCCAACTTCTACTTAACATTTACAATTACTACTTAACATTATTTGAGTAAATTACAAATGGCATAGGTCATAATAGTGTAAAACAGAACTATTTTCATCGACCTTCCTAAGATTAACACAATACGTTTTTAGTTACTGACACAAAATAATAACACATCGTCATGCTTTAAATTGACAAAAGTATCAACGAAATCCTTGTAATAATTAATATAACACGAACCATTAACATTAAAATGAAGTTAAAAAGAATAAATTACATTAAACAAGAGTTATCAATTTTTTGGAATCCCCTTGATTAATTTTTCTTTAAAAAAGAAAATTGTTAACTTAAAAATGTTAAATGCACACATTTAAATAAATTTATTAAAAATAACAAAGTTTATTATAATTAACTAAGCAACTGAGTTCAAATACGTTTCAAACAAAAAAAAAATTAATTTACGATCAAACATAGGTATAATCAATTTGAAAAAATATGTAAACTTAATGCATTTATGCATCATATGACAAACCTAAAATAAAAATTATGACAGATAAGTATAAAAATTTGTAAACCAAGCTGACCCGACCCGGGTCTTGTTAAGTCTGTTCAACACAGACCATTTCTATATTATTTGTTTGGCCTCTTTGTTTCATTAATTTTTAATAAACGGTAATTTGACACTATTTACTAAAAATTCCTTTTGTAACTCAAAATTTAATTTTCCTAAATATTTTGACTCTAATAAAGAGGTTCCTCCTCTATTTTTGCTTTAATGGTGACCAGGTGAATAAAATAAAATTATATAATGTAAAACAATGATCAACATATATAAGAATGTTTTCTTTCTTTCCTCAAAAGTGTTGCAAATACAGACTAAGCTAACTAATTAGTTAAACACATAAATAAAACTTGAGTAACTCGATATTAATGCGCAAAACTACAATATTCTCCACATTTTTAAAGGTTTTTAGTAACGACCCCCCATTTACAAAGATCCCCATAAAATATGTACAACAAATTATTAGGCATAAAATAGATAAAACATAAAATTAACTAATTGCATATATCTATATCTTTTTAACTTTCAATAAAAAGAAATAAGGTTTTTTTGATTAATAAATCTTATAAATGCGTCATAACGTAATTCTAAAAAAAAAAAGAAATGAAATTATGATATAATAATTACAAAGAAAAAAAAACAAAAATAACTAAACAATTACCGAAGATCGATTTACCTATTTATAGTAACTTATTTTGAAATTGCAGTTAAAGATTTATCGAAAATGTAACTATAAAATCTGTTTTGAAGTACAAAAGCATTAACAATACTAAAAAAAAAAAATCAAACTAAGATATAAATTGTTGTCTTGGCTTTAATAGTTTAAACGTATATATAACTATAAACAAATATGACTTTATGTAACACATATAAACACATTTTACATATATTGAATGATAGATATATTTATCAAAAACTATGAAAAAAAATAAATAATGATAAATAATGTTATACATATAAATGTGCTCACAACCTTTAACAGTAAATTTTAAAGAAAAAAAAATCTTAAGACTATAAATTAAGAACATTAAAAAACATAACAATATTTATGTTACATTTTTTTACCTAATATACCTTGAATAAGATGTTTATCAATTTTGAAAAACAAACTATTAAATGCACTAGTTCTTGAAAATGCAACATATAGTTGACCATGAGAGAAACACGGTTTTTGAGGTATTTCTTTTGTCTATATTTTTAATTTCGCGTTACGTAATATGTTAACGATCCCTAAAAGAAAATACGTGAAACTAAAAAGATTTTATTTATTACAATAACCAATAACAACCAAGGGACAATTTAAAGAATTATATCTTTAAACAGCAAATTATCAATCGCAGTATTAAAAAATACGCAAAAGCTCAGTAATTACATGAGTTTAATCTATTTTCTCTATATATTAATTCTTCTCTAAGTCTCATCTAAGAGAGAGAGGAAGTGTTTTAAAAACAGCACGTTAGAAAAAGGAAAAAAGTCATGCAATAAATAACAATAACTGGTTTTATTATGCTACTATTAAATAAAATTATTTTTTCCTTAACTAAAAGTTAATTTCCAGCATTTCTTAATTAAGTTCCAACTTCTCTTCAACTGTTGACAAATGAATAATATTGTAAATTTCACATCATATTAAATTTACAAAATTAAAACCATGTTTCAAAAGTAAGCAAAATAATCAAGTGATGACAAAGATAACTAAAAAAAAAGTGAACACAATTATGTTTAAGATAACAAAAAAACAAAAACAAAAAAAATTAAAATCATTAAAAATTGAAAATGTTATTATTTGTAACTATAAATACTAAAATTCATACTTTAAAATTAAAATCCCGACGGGCATTTGTTTTTAAAAGTTACGTTCTGAATGTATTTTAAATGTCTTTTAAACGTCTTTTAAACATTAATGTTTAAAAGACGTTTAAAACACATTCAGAACGTAACTTTTAAAAACAAATGCCCGTCGGGATATTAAAAATTGTAAAATTCATACGTTAAAATTCTTGTTTTAGAGTGTCTAATGTAAAATCAAATAATAGACATCAACACCGCTTGACACTGAATTCTGACAAAAAAGTTTTCTGTTCATCAAGCAAAATTAATTATACTTCTACGACAATTAATTTTATCATGCCTAGATCTTTTCTTTTATTTGACAACAAAAGCAAGTCACCTATGAGCATTTACACTAACAACTTCTTCGAGCCCAATATTATACATCTATTATCATTAAATATATTACCAGCTATTATACTACTTTTACAACAGAATATATGAACGTTTTATGTTTTTACAACTGAAAAATATAAAACAAAATTTTTAATATTATTTTAATTTAGCAAAGAATTTAGACTACAATGCAAAATTATTTTTACCTTCAGGCACAATCTTAATGCACAAAAATAATAAATGCAGAATCTTGTATAAAAAATGAAGCAATGTCAGTTTAAAGTAATATATATATATATATATATATATATATATATATATATATATATATATATATATATATATATATATATATATATATATATATATATATATATATATATATATATATATATATATATATATATATATATATATATATATATATATATAAATATATATATATATATATATATATATATATATATATATATATATATATATATATATATATATATATATACATATATATATATATATATATATATATATAATATATATATATATATATATATATATATATATATATATATATATATATATATATATATATATATATATATATATATATATATATATATGAATATATATATATATATATATATTATTAACCCTTCTATTTAAACAAAGAAACAAATGACTTGAAGTGACAAAAAAGCACTTTAGCTTTTTCCAATTGCACTAAAAAATAAAATAAATCTTGCTTTGCTAAGTTGCCTAGTTCTTAAGAATCTGAAAACAAATAAGTAAAAACCCAAAAACAAACAAACATTTTTTTATTAAAACTACTCTATTTAAACAAATTAAATTAAACAGAGAACAACATTGATTCTCTTTAAAGGCTAAAAAAATTTACAGGTCAAACTTGCTTGCAGACCTTGCTTATAAAACCACTTGAATAAAAAAAGCATAAAAAAAAACCTAGAAGCTATTTAAAAATGGTATATGTAACATTGAACTTTGAATGTTGACTAGAGTAGATATTTAAAAAAAATTTAAAATGATTTGTTCTTCTATAGCAATTAAAACCACTATAAATCTGAAGTTAAAAATGTAACGAATAAGTAAATACAAAGAAAATCATCATATGTGAATTGAAACTCAATGTACCTGATACAGATAAGCTGTTGTGATACCTGAGTAGTAGTTGCTAAATATTATTTTTTCATGATAAACAAAATGTATTTTGAGCAAAATGATGTCTTGAATGAATTTTAGTAAATAAATAAAAGCAGTGAGTTCTAGTAATGAAACTACCTATTAACCATTAATCAATCATTAACAGCAGACAACAACGTAAAGATAAGCAACAAAAGGTAACAACATTACGAGAAAAATTATTAAAGATAATGTAATGTGTTTTCAGAATAGTTATATTAAAGGCTAGGCAACACTTAGACCTAAAGCAGTAACATCGTTTGCCAATTCACTCTGAAATCATGAAAACAACATTATATAAACATATATACTAATTATAAAACGCAATATATTTTTTTAATGTTACTTAGCGTATAAAAACACCCCATTTAACAACCTTGCACAAATTAGTTATAATACATTTCATACTATTATAAATACACATTTATTCAAACACATTTATAAAACAACTATATCACCACATACACGTATTTATCAAAAAATTTTAAACTTTGAGCATGATATACATACAAACTTATATGCAATCTTTTAACAACTATAAAACAACATTTATTACCATCAATTATTTTTAATGTAACAAAGAATTTAGACTACAATGTACAACATTGTTAATAAAAATGAAGTTATAACAGTCAGTATATGTTTATCTAAAGTAATGAAAAAGAATAAACCATTTAAAAACAAAATTAAAAATCTCTAATAAATATATACTTAGATACTTTAAAATGAAGCATAACACAACACTCTTTTGACAAATTTCAGAACAAATTTTTTTATTTTTTTATTCCTTTTTATTTTTCCTTATAGAAAACATACATATAGATATAGAGAAATATAAAATAGACTGAAATAAACGCAAATTTATGTATATAAATTTACATGACCACAAATAACAGTCTTATTTTATTTAACTTTTCATATTAAATACATGAATAAAATTTTATTCTCATTATTCTTTCTATGAAAAAAAATCTTAGCCTATGTATGAGAAAATGAATTAAACTTACTAAAAAAGCGATCAGTTCCTCTTAACTGCTCTAAAAAATAAACCAAATACTTGCTTAAAATGTTTTAAAAAGACAATGACAAAACGGAAACAGTTTTCTTAAAAAAGAAACATTGTACTAATAAAACTATTTTACCAGTCAATTTAGTTTTAACTTCTTCTAAAAAATAAAAAATAAAAACATATTAAGATACCTTATAATGAAGCATAACACAATATTCTTTTGACAATCTCGCAATTTAAAAAAAGATTACAATAAATTAGTTACTTAACAAAATTTTAAAAAGATTATATATTACCTATAATTTTAAGCTACTAAACATTTTCTATTTAATGTCTAATTAAACATTTTTAACTCGTGAATGAAAAAACTTATTAATCATTTTTTAAACAACAGTTACCACCATAAAGATAAGCCAAAGATAATAACACTACGCAAAAATATATCAAAGATAACGTTGTGTATTTTCAATATATTATATAAAAGGCTAGACAACACTTAGACCTAAAGCAGTGCTTTACAGGTAAAAATGAAAAATATATCTCTACACGATTGCTAAGTCACACCACTTTGAAATCATGGAAACAACATTATATAAACATATATACTAACTATAAAACACAATATATTTTTTTAATTTTATATAACATATAAAAACACCTCATTTAACAACCATATACACATTAGATAAAATACCTTTCATACTATTATAAGAATACATTTAAATAAACAACTATACAACATATATCACCTCATTTAACAATCATATGCACATTAAATAAAATACATTTCATACCATTATAAAAAACACATTTATATAAACAACTATATAACATAAATTACCAAATACACGTATTTATCAAAAACTTTTTTAACTTCGAGCATAATATAAACATATGTGCAAACTTTTAACAACTATAAAACAATATTTATTAGCTTCAATTATTTTTAATGTAACAAAGAATGCAGATACAATGCACAACATTGTTAATAAAAATTAAGTTATATTAGTCAGTATATATTATTCTGAAGCAATGAAAAAGAAGAAACCATTTAAGAACAAAATTAAAAATTTCTAATAAATACATATTTAGATACCTTAAAATAAAGCATAGAACAACACTCGTTTGACAAGTTGCAGAAGAAATTTTCTTATTCCTTATTATAATTTTTCTATTCCTTATTATTTATCCTTAGAGAAAATATATATATATAGATATAGAGAAATATAAAATAGACTGAAATAAATCGAAAATATTAATTTATGTATGAGAATATAACTTGAACTTACTAATAAAAGCGATCAGCTCCTCTTAACTGCTCTAAAAAATAAAACAAATACTTCTTAAATTGTTTTAAAAAAAATATCGACCAAACTGAAACAGCCCAGACAGCCTGCCGCTAGCGGCCCAATGCTGGCCCAGTTCCGCTTGCGACTACGGCGCGATGACGGCCGTCGATCACGGGCCTGCATCAAAACGGCCATTGGGCCAGCACTGGCCCGCTAGCCATGGGCCAGTATTGGCCCGCAATGGTTCGCCAGCACTGGCCTGCGATTATTTGCCAGCACTGGCCCGCGATCGCTTGCCAGCATCTGTTGACAGTACTGATCCGTGATCATTTTCCAACAATCTTTCGTGTTTGCGTGTCAGCTCTAAAGCGTTACTTTTTACTAGATACTTTTACTACATACACTAGCACGTTATTATTAGCCGTTTCCGTGAAAATGTGTTATTCCATAAAATTCAAACAAATAAGTATATTTGAAATTTATTGTAAACCAAAAGTGTTTTAATTAATAATGAAATAATAAAAACAAAAACGTTGAATGAATCAAATATTTATTTTTGCAACGAATTTTTAAGATCTTCCCGAGCTTTACGGCCGCCATTTCGATCACCGGAAAGTTGAAAGTATCTTTTTATCCAACGTTCAACCTCTTCAGACACTGCTCCTGAAGTCGAAGGATTTATTTTAACCGCATCTAAACAGTGTGACTACATTGTATATATGGAATATATTTATGTATACATTAGTAAATAATTAAACATATATATATACATATATATATATATATATATATATATATATATATATATATATATATATATATATATATATATATATATATATATATATATATATATATATAAAATAGTTGATATATATATATATATATATATATATATATATATATATATATATATATATATATATATATATATATATATATATATATATATATATATATATATATATATATATATATATATATATATATATATATATATATATATATATATATATATATATATATATATATATATATATATATATATTACTATACATATAAACATATTTGTGTAAATTATCGTGATTCAAAAACGACTTTTTTTTAAATAGTCCACTGTTCAACCTAATATGTGTTCTCTATAATAAAATTTTATTATAGAGAACACATTTAAGGTTGAACAGTGGACTATTTAAAAAAAAGTCGCTTTTGAATCACGATAACTTATGGCATTAATAACGCTAAATTTGAAGTTTTTTAAACAAAAAATATTTTTAGGGGTTGCAAAAGTACCGAGTTCCTAATATTATTGGGAAAAAAATCAAAATGTCAGCCCAGTACTCAAAAGATGCACAACTAAATGTTAAAAATAATTATAATCAACACAAGATAAAATAAATATATAATAAAACACAAGATTTAAAAATAATTAACATTTACTTTATCTTGTAAGTTAAAAAAAAACATTTTTTTTTTAACTTTATGTGCAGTAAATTTTGAAAAAATAATTTGCATATAGAATGATTAATATTTGTTTTCCAGCACCAAAATTTTAAATCTTGTTTTTTATTATATAAAATACATTTACGTTTGAGGAACGGACTATATAAAAAAAAGTTGTTTTTTGAATCAGCATAATATATATATTTATACAAATGTTATACATAGAATGAAATTTCTTCTTACCCAATAAAACTTTTTTTAAAGGCATTGTTTTCAAAGCAAGCTTATTGTTAGCTCCTGACCAATTTATTTTTTTTTCTATATTGGTGCCAATCACCATTGGAATTAAATTCCAAACAGTCCTCTTAATTGTTGAGCCACCATGGGATGCCAATTTCATGCTCTAAAATTTACATACACATTATACATGATAACCATCTTTGTCTTTCATCAACAATTTTATTTAACTTTGTAAAATACTTATTTAATACTAAACTGTAAATTCAAAATAAAAATACTTTTAAAATGTTTTGTATAAAGAAATAAAAAAACAACGAATAAATGTATGGCTCACACTTACCAGTGCATTCATAACTTTCTTATCTGATTCGATGTTTTCGTTTAATTTGAGTAAGCTTGACTCATCATTTACTGGAATTTCGAAAGGTTCATCAACCAAAATTGCTTCCCTGTTTTGTTTAAGCATTCCAATAAGTTGACTTATTAAGGCATTATTTGTATCTAACTTTTTGTTCAGGTTCTCTACTGAAATAAGAAGCTCTTTTTCAACTGCTGTAAAAATATTTAATATTAGGCTACACCATCTCAACGATTATGAAAAATTTTAAAACTATATAAAATAATAAAATCTTAATCAAACGGAATTAAGCGCTACAGATCAAATCTAAAGGAATTGTTGCCGCAATGCATTTTTCAAGTGAAAGTAAAACTAAAAAACTTGATATATTTTTTAGTTTTACATAATTTGAAGAAAGTTAAATATTTGCGTAAGTTAGATAATAGCATACACTATCGGTGACTTTTCTTATATAAAAAAGTGCTACTACTCTTTCTCGCTATTACCTCGGTTGCAATCGCTGCCAAGAGTATCGTATCAAACACTCTCCAATGAGCATTGACATCGCTATTATATAATGTGATAAAATATAAATCTTAAAATTTATAAAAAAAAACAAACAAAATGAGCATTATAAAAATAACTCTCAGTATCTCAATTATATGCATACGACTAACCAGTGCAATGAAGTGTTCCTTCGCTCACTTCGGCGAGAATCCGTCTCACAGTTGAACATCCACTTGATGTCAACGAAGATCCTAAAAACTAGAATAAAAAAAAAATAATTAATTGAACAGTTTAATTCAATTTACTAATAGGTTCTTTTCTTTTTTTTTTGTAATTCACCTCCCCAAGGCCGAGAAGGCCACTACAGAGAAGGAGACTATGGTTATAACCCTCTCTTAACTCTATAACTCTGAAACACGAACCTTGACAAACAAGGCCGCTGCGCGGAGAAACAAGTTAAGCGCAGTACTACCAGGACGCGGTGGGAATCGAACTTAAATGCATATATGTAAATATATATATATATATATATATATATATATATATATATATATATATATATATATATATATATATATATATATATATATATATACATACATAGTCAATATACTAATGAATATAGCAAATTACCACAGAATTGGGCGCAGACAACGGATTGCTTTCGCATAAAGTACTTTTATCAACTACACTTGGTAAATTTGGATGCATGTTTGTGTCCTATTTACAAAAGCCAACTATAAGATTACTTGAGAACATTATGGAATTCAGTTACATTTTAATTGAAAAATATTTAAATGAAAATAGTATTAAAAGTACCTTCTCTTCTAACACTTCCAAAACAGAACCTTGCCTTTTATTTGACTTTAAATGATCTGAAAGAGTTAAATTTTCAGTACTAAATAAAGTTAAAGGATGAATTGGAGGAGCTGGAGCAAGTGTCTTTTTTTTTTTATTCATAACTTTCTTTTGTTTTTTTAATAACTGTTGAGTGTCACTTTCTGAACTTGAATAGTCAAAGTTATGATACGATACATCTCTGTAAAATAATGAAAGAAAATCAACATCATGATATGATGATCATCATCTAAATTACATATAATCACATAATGATCATCATGAGAAAGACCATCACCTGGTAGGGCGAAGACTCTTCTGAATTCTATTTTCTTCTGAATTAATTGAATCTTCACCCTCGTTATTTGAGAAAAAATCTGATGAAACTTCTGCCATAGGTAGTTTTTCTCTCGCTTTTTCATATGATACTAAAAAAAATTGGGGTTTAAAAATCAAAATAGTGAAAAATTGTTTCAAAAAGAAAAACAATTTAAAAAAACATAAACTTTTAAAAATTTTTGTGAAATTACTAACCAGAGTTATACATGATACTTATGTCATATTCAGTCCAATCATCTCCAGGAACTTCACATTTTTTAATGGCTCTGTTAAGGCGTTCGGTCTTATATGAGCAGGGCCATAGACAAATACCATTTGTTACCCATTTAGCGGGAACAACAGCCACTGAATCTTTTTCATCAATAAATTTAACAATATGATACAATTTATCCATTGTTCTTTTAGAAGAAAATTATAGACTAAATATGGTAGTATTATTGACATATTATAGTTAGTAATTAAGTGTTGGTTGATAATTAAAAATAACTTAAATTTGAGAAATTTAAAAATAGAGAACAGCAAAAAATACAAAAAGCAATTAAAAAATAAAAAGGAAATAAAATTTGAAAACAAATACAAAATACACATCACGTAACATTTAAATTATTAACTATCAAGCGTATCATTATAAACAATATTAATATAATATTGTTATTATTAGAAAATAGACACTTATTAAATAATAAAACAATTTATTTTTTTATCAATAATAAAAATATATAAACAAATTCCAACAAATTTAATTATAACAAGTGAAGCAAGGGTGACACGACAAAACCATTGTCAACTTGTAACAAGACACACTTGAGAAATTTGTCATCTAAAATTGCAATACGATCCACTTTATCTAAATGTGATACTAGAAATATTCCTAACACACTTGAATCACAAGGATAAGTAAAAAAATTTGATTTTGTCAAAAATGACTAGTATACAATATAGGTAATATCATCAAAAACACAAATATTTTTCACTAAACAAATTTCATTTTCTATTTTAACACAGTTATTGCCACATGTTGTTTTAAGACAAAAATTTGGTAAATAAACTTCATTATATTGTAGTGAAAATCTTAAAAAATCAGGGCATGGTCCTTTGTTATGTTGCTTTCTATATTTAATTTTTTGATCAGGTAAAAAGTCATTTATTACAGCATCACGTTCCGACTGTCTACGAATAATTTGAGCTAAAGGATGTTGTGGTTTTCTTATCATTTTTTTTAAATGCTGCAAGTAATTTTCATATGGAAATCCAGATATTTTATCTAAAGTCCCATGCTGTTGAACATCATCAGCCAAATGGATTAAACTATGAACATTGTAAACGATCATTTCCTGGCCATACAATAGTCCAAAATGGTTAACAAAATTAATTAATAAAGTTTTAGAATAACTACATCTAGATACACAATAAGTTGGACTTGCTAAAAGAAATGTGGCTACATATAACAGCATAAAATTATTATACAACTCAATTGGAAGCACATTATGTAAAACAACAGCACCTGTATACAACAAAAATTGGCGAAATTCGGTTGCCTTCCATCGTGAAACTTCTTTGAGTGAACGAGGTTTTCGCGCAAATTCAGTGGGAAGCCATTTGCCTAAAAAAATTAAAGCATTTGATATGCTTTCAACAGAAGATGAGCGTAATCGACAAAACAATGGTCCCGACAACCACAACTTAATCATTTTCTTTTGAACTCCCAAACAAACTAAATGCATATAATCATGCGGAAATTGAGTGACCATTCCAATATCAATATCCAAAAATGGACTTCGAATGAAATTTTCCCCAATTTTCAAATGATGATCATCATTGTGCATTAATCTAAAACTTTCATCAGTTCGCACAGGTGCATCTACCAATGGGTAGGTCATTCGATTAGCTTTATACTTACCAATTTGGTTACATTTATCACAACCATAATATGCATTGTGACCTTTTTTACAGCTTTAACAAATGCTCTAGCAGGAGCATCACAAATT